AAAAAAAAAACCAGAAAAAAAAGGGAAAACCCGTGGAAAAATAGAAAATTAAAAAAAAAAGAACGAAAAACCCGACTGAAAAGGAAAGACAGATGTGTGCCTATGAATAACCTTCCAGCGCCTTGGTTATATCAGCTGTATTTCAGGTGAATCTGTTTTACAATAGACTAGTTTTGCATTTTTAAAGACTTATATAGCGTTTTTAAATGTCCTGAGGTGTTTTACTACAAACTGTACACAATATTTGTGACCTAATTTGTATCGAATTGAGCAGTCCAAACGTTGCTCCCTTTCCCCGAGCGCCGGCAGTGTCACCGAGCGGGGCCGGGGCAGGGCGGCCGCGGCCCTTCCTCACCCCCACCCCCGAGGAGATGGGGCTCGGAGCCCCGCACCGATGTGAAGAACAGGCTTATTTGTTGCAGCTTTTTTTCCTTCCTTTTCAAGAACTTCCCAACACCGTAAAACGGTCGGGTCACAAGCCTGACCTTCCCCCCACTCCCCTCCTCCACTTCTTCTCCCAAGGAAAAAAAAAAAATTATTTATATATAAAATAATTATTTCTAAGAGATTTACCCGAAATTAAGCATCACAACCAAACCCGTGGCATTTGCCAGTCTTTTTCTTTCCGAAGATGAGTTGGGCTTTTTGATCAGCGCCAGACTGAGAGGTCTGTAGTAAAACACCTTTATCCTTCTGCGCTTTCGCTTCGGAAATCGGTTTCTCTGTATTTTGTTTCGATAGTGAAGAGGAATGAGGTGTCGGCGGGGAGGGAGGCAGGGAGGGAGGGAAGGGGACAGAAAACGCCCGCATTTGGTTCACGCTGAGCTTCTTTCCGCGTCGCAGGGAGATGCTGGATTTGTGGAAAAGCTTTTCTATGGGGAGGGGAAGGGGGTGGCGGGGAAGGAAAAAAAAAATCATAATAATCACCGACAAAACATGGAGAAAAAACAAAAAAAAACCCAAACAACAACAAACCCTCAACCACCAAAACAAAGTCACTAAAACGCTACCAACGCCGTTTTTTTCGGGCGCAGGGAAGTGCCGAGCTGCACCCGCCCCCTTGGTCCCCCTGTCCCTCTGTCCCTCCCAGCCCGTGTTGTCCCCAAGGGCGGGGGGGGGGTCTGTGTGTCTGTCTGTCTGTCTGTCCATGTGTGTGCTCGCTTTCCCCCCCCCGAGCCCCGCGCTGCTCCCGCACCCCCGGGGCCGCCGGGCAGGGCCGGGCTCCCCCCATCCCATCCCATCCCATCCCATCCCCTCCGCTCCCGGGGCTGCACCCGCGGCCCCCCGAGGGCCGGGCCGGTCCCCGCTCCGCGCAGATCCCGCACAGCATCCCCCCCCCCCTCCTCCTCTTCCTCCTCCTCCTCCCACCCTTCTTCTCCTCTCCCCTTCCCCTCCTCCAGATTTTTTCCTTTCGACATTTATATTTTTCAAGTATTTTTCAGTAAGCGCTAAAAAAAAAGAAAAAAAAAAAGAAGCAAAAAAAAGGAAAAAAAAAATAGAAATTAAGAGAAAAAAGAAAAAAAAAATCTCGACACTGAGGACCTGCCTATTTCTGCCAACTTTATAACTGTACAGTTTTGTATATTAAACGTTTTTTGGAAGTTATTAATTTAAAGAAAGATCATTTAGTTTATTCATTTAGTAACTGATGTATAATAAACGCTATTTTCATTAAAGGTTGCTTTTTTCAACTATTTTATCCAAAATTGCCTATTGCAGTTGCCAACAATTATTTATTTTCAATAAATTCCGCATTATGTTTAAAAAAAAAAAAGAAAGAAAACGTTTCAGAAAGAAACAACAAAAAAAATGAAGCCTAAATGGGTGTCGGATAAAAATAATAACGAAACACACGAGTGGCTGTAACGTTTGGTTGTCGACCAGTTTTAGTCAAGGGGTTTATATCGACGCAATATTTTATTGTTGTAAAAGGAAAAAAAAAAAAAAAAAAAAAAAAAAAAAAAAAGGTTTAAATAAACATTTTTACGAAAGAAAAAGAAAATAGCTGGAAAAGTGCGGGTGCGTGGTTTGTGCGCTGGCCAAGCCGGGGTGCGGGGGCTCCTCCGACCCCCCCAGCCCCGGGCACGGCCGGGGGGGCTGAAGGGGCCGGTGCCGGCAGTGCCGCTGACACCTGCCGCGGCTTCGGGGTGGAAAAAAAAAAAAAAAAAAGCTCTTTTTGGGGTGGAAGAAGGTCTGTGCGGTTTTTGCGGGGCCGGGGCAGCGTGTGTCCGTATAGAGCCGCGTGTCGGTGCGTTCCGTGTGTATCAATATTTGTGCGCGTCCCGGCCATGCGGGTCCCGGCGCCGGGGAGCGGCAGCGAGCGGGGGGCACCGGGCAAGTTTCTTTTGTTCCTGCCGTGCCCCCGCCCACCCTGCCCGGGCCGCGGCCGCCGGGAGCGGAGGGGCCGCAGCTCCGAGCCCCGTCCCCGCCCCGGGGGGAGGAACAATACCGCTTTAATCACATCGAGCGCCGTGAAACGGGCGAGCTCCGGCCGCGGCGGCCGCCGGGGTGCAGAGGGAGGCAGGGAAGCGGTAAAAACTTCGAGGGATCGCCAGCGAAACGGCCTTTTATTATTATTATTATTATTATTATTTTTTCCTCATCCTTTCTGAAGCCGAACCTCGGAGAAAACAATGCCCAACCCTTCTGCCAGCAGTGTAGCGGGGGGAGAAATTACCTTTAGGAATAATCGTGAGGAGCGGCCCGAGCAGGGAGCGAGCTCTCGTCTTCAATAAGCAGCACTTGAGTGGACAGGAGCCTTCCCACTGCACTGCCAGCACACCAAGCCTCCCGTACCTGGGAGCGAGAGGGATTTGGGATGTGAACAGTGGGCGATGCATTGTTTCTGAACCATAAAAGTGATTTATTTCATTGGTAAATCTCTGTGAGCTGCAGCACCGCGGCCTTGAGGGCAGCGGGGCCTGCGCTGGCCCCGGGTGGCTCCGCTGAGGGACCACGACCTGCAGCTCTGTCCTGAAGGATTACAGCAGCGGCAGAAGGAAATACAAGCCCCAAAAGCCCGGTTTGTGTCAGCTCCAGGAGCAGGATGAATGTGGCGTGGGGACCAAAGCAGGAGTAAACAGCCGTGGTTTGTAAACAGCCCCAGCTGAGGACGCGGAGGAAAAGCTGCAGGTTAAAACCGGCTGCAGGTTAAAACCAGCCCTGAGTGCTCACGGTGGCTCTGAGCATGCAGGGCACAGAAAGGCAAAGCTCTTAAAGACAGCCTTGGTTTGGAGGAGGGACGGAAGGCGTTTCACTGAAATTAGCCCGTTTTAGAGCCCTTTGGCTGCTCTGTAAATACAACCACAGCGAGGGCTGGGTTATGTCTTATTTTAAAACAAATTAGCTTGAGACAAAAGAGATGCAATGAAAGACGGAATCAAGTAAGTTTATAAACAGAAGCACTTCAAAAGGCTGCTGGAAAGCCGGAGAAAAGAGGAGAATTTCGTTGAAAGAAATAATCTCTGCTGGTTATTGCCCATCGGTTTCAGTGTTCCTGCGAGCAAAAGGAAACTCTTTTGTGCCACCTAATGTTAAGTACAGATCACTGTTGTCTTCTTGGCTGCCCATCATCCATGGTGAGCTGGGGAGGCCTCGGGGTGCTGAGCCCATCAGGGTGGAGCCCAGCACCCCAAAGTCCCACCAAACCAAGGACAGGGAGAGAGAAACTTCAGCTTCGCAGTTACCTTCTGAATTTAGGGTTTTTTGTTTTAAAAAAGAACTCAGGAGGGGGTGGAGAGAAGCACGGGGTAGAATCATAAGAATGAAAGACTCCAAATTTGGGTTTTGTTATAAAAAAGTAGCTGCAGAACGAGCACATCCAGAGTTTATATAAGCTGCCCACCCCCAAGCTCCATCTCAGCAGCCTCTGGGTTTGGGGGAGCTTCTCTTTCCACTCTCCTCAAGAACCCAAGTGGCCTGGCCTTTGCACACCCGTGTCTCCCAGCTGGAAGAATTTTGGTGTGTACTTAGCAGCCATTCACATGAATTTAGTATGTAAATATCTTACACAGTCCTTTAAAGAAAGGGCTGAAAGCAAGTGTTTCTCCAATAACAATAAATTGCGCTGTTTTTGTGATTTTAATGCTGAGTGTTAAATATCTTTAGCAATTTTTGAGGTTGAATCGTCCATGCTTTTCATATTATACTAAAAAAAAAACCAACCAGGGGCTTCCTTTGGGTTAAGTTTTAAATATTTGTAAGCTGTGCTCTTTAAAGATGGCCAGGACATGGGAGAGAGTTCTCCTGAAAGCAGAAAATTACTAGAAGTAAGCAGAGGTGCCATTTCACTTTAGGCTGGTCATTATAGATCATTCAAAATATGGACTAGTCAATCCATGCCTAGACTACATTTGACCAAGATGTTTTTAAAATCTCTCAAAATCTAGTATTTCAAGTTTTTCTTTCTGTATTTTTAGGTATCGATTCCCTAGGTTCAGGCAGAACAGATGAGAGAAACCTGGTTCTCTTGGGCTGCATCCATGTACCAAAACCACCACTGATTTTAGAGCACATCCACATGTGGATAGAGGCACGTTTAAAACCTCAGTCCTTCCCCCAGGAGCTTGTGGGGCTGGGGGTGGATGCCCTGATCCCAAAACCCAGACAAAATTCACTGTTTACTCACCAGAGCAGCTTCCCTGTAATCAGTGAGCTCACCATGCA